GGTCCCCAGAGCGGGTTTGGGACACGTTGGCTTTGCATGTGCCTGGGCAAAGCCCAGATGTGGGTGACCCCTCGCCCGGGCAGCCTGGAGACAGGGCAGGGGATGGCAGGAAAACTGTGATATCTCGCCCACCCCTCCAGCTCCAAGGGCTGGGATTTGGGGGATAGCCAGATTTGGGGGCTATGGGCAACTTGGGCTCCTGTAAGCTAGGCTGAAGAGTCCATGCCCAGGGGAACCCCAGCAAAGGCTCATCTGGGGTGATACAGAGCCGTCTGGCTGCCGGGGTCTAGGTTTGGAAGAGGAACGGGCCGGGCATTTTGTTTCTAAGGTTTTCTTAATTTTATTTTGTTTTTCGCCTCAGCCCAGCAGAAAATGGGGAAATCCTGCCGAGTCCTGCTGGCTCCAGCATCCACCGCTCCATCTGCGAAAGCTCAGGGTTTCAAAGCCAGGAGTCCGAACGGATGCTGAGGCCGGGATGGCAGGGCTGGATAAGCCGCTTGCGTTTGCTTTGGAAAGGCTGATGTTTGCATGAGCACCGGCTCCAGTGGTTTTAAAGGGACCCACCCAGGAGCAAATCCCAACAGCCTGAAATCAGAGCTGTGGCTGCTCCCACCCCGGGCTGGGCTGGGCTGGAGAAGTCTCTGCCCTACACCCAGACCTCCCTGCGCATCCTGGGTGGAGGAGGCAGAACAAGGGAAGCAAATGGAGATGCCGGCATGGCTAACGGGGCCAGCAAACACATCCTAGGCAAGATCTCCCTTGGAATTCTGGGGCAGGAAGGGCGAAGCTGCCATCTGTAGCTGGAGATTTAGTTCAGCCAAGCTCAATACGCCCCATCTCCTGGAGATCCAGTCTCACTAGCATCCTTGCTGCCGGCAGACATGCTCTGGTACCCGGCTGCTTCAGGAAGCATGATTTTAGGTGTCACCACCCTGGTGTGAGAAGGGACAGATCCCCAGACACGCGATCTGTGCCCATTTCAGGACTGGGGCTAAACCTGCCCTGCCTGCAGAGCTGCTGGTGGCTCCAGGACATTTCAGCCCGCACGCTCTCCCCTGCCCCTAGAAACCCCCGTAAGCTCAGCAAAGCACCGACAGCGTGGCCTGGGTGAAATGCTACCATTTATTAAGCCAGCTATTATTTTGTTGAGAATGATTTTAACAGCGCTGGAGGACTTACCCTGTCTCCCCCCAGGACCCTCAGCTGATTCATCACATGCAGGGCTAGAAGGAAAGTGGGGGACAGCCAGCCTTGGGGGACATGGTGGCTCAGCAGTAGCGGTGGAGCTACACAGGGAGCCGTAAGCTGCTCACAGGCGATGGCAAGCCAAGCACAGCTGCTCCGGGGCAGGGAGACGGGATGCTCACGTAGGGCAATCCGGTCCCAGTTTGCTGGGATTCCCCCAAGTCCTCGGCAGGTGCCGTCTCCGGCAATTTTGGAGATTGTCCTGCTCTCCGTGTCCATCCAGGGAAGCTCTGAGGATCTGCAGGGGAAGGGAGGGTGCTCGGGGCTCTCAGCATGGTGGGTAGTTTCCACAGAAGGTGCTGCTTCAGAGACCCAAAGCTGAACCTGTCATGCACCCAACCACCTTCCTAACCACAGCCAGCTCATATCTCACATCTAGAAAGAGTCAGACAGGTCTTCCCTCTCTTTTGGCTTCCCACGGACATCAGGAGACGTTGTCTCCACTCCCACCACTCCAGCAAGGAAAGAGCCAGGCTGCGACCCACGCAAGCAAGGGAACAACAGCACCGTGGTGACAGCAAAGCCATCACAGCAACTGGCTGGGGACAGACATACCCACGGGTTGTGAAGCCAGGACCCTCCAGGCTTGTCCACACGTATGGAAGAGCCCCTCTCCTTGAAGCAGGGGGCTGTGGGATGCTGAGGTCCTTCCCTGCATCCTCTGGCGAAGGCAGCAGGTCCCACCCAAGCTCGCACACAGCTCCAGCTGCAAGCCATGCTCTGCAAGCCAGCGAGGGGTGTGCTGGGAGGCATGGTGGGCAGGCAGGAAAAGGCACAGGCAGAAGCCAAGGCTAAAAGGACAGAGGAGATGTCTCCAGGGCAGGGTCGCTGCAAACCCACCCCGGCAGAGGAGCCTCATGTTTCTGGTTGCTGGTAGGGGGAAGAGACCTGGCGCCGTTCATCACACAGATGGGGAATCCCGACCATGACCCCCGTCACGCTGCATCAAAGGAAAGCACGAGCCCTTCTGAGTCTGAGCCCCGCAGGCTCTGCCAGGCTGCCCGTACACTGCCACATCCCGGGGTTTCTGCAGGACCTGGTCCCGAGGTGGAAGACAGTCCAGAAACCAACTGGAGGAACTGGATCTCCATCTCCCATCCCATGCTTTGCCCTTCTCGTGTAATCACATCAGAAAGGGAAGACTGCACCGTCATCCTTCCTGTGCGGGGCACGGATGAAGGCTCCCCAGCCCAACGGGAGCAGCTACAGTCACTGCCCTGATCACGCTTCAGATCAGCTTCACAGAGACGTTTAAACCAGGCAGGGCTTCACCCGCATGGAAGGGGGTTTTAGCATCCACCATGTGCTGTGGCCAAACCCCAGGTGCCCCAGGTCAACTCTGCCCTGGGTGGACACTGGCCTTGAAGACGATGATGGAAATGAGCACATCCAACGTGGATGCCCTGCTGATGATCCTGCCCCACACCTCGCACGGAGCATGCTGGTGCCACCAAGCTGTGGATGTATGGGACCATCTCCTGTCCTCTCTGGGTAGCCGGTTTGGGGGAAAGGTCCCCAGTTTTTGCTGACGGAAGGCTGAGGATTAAAGGGGAGAGGACCCAGGAGTCCCACGGTCCCGGGTTTCCCCACCAACCCTTCCCCACCACCAACATCAAGGACAACAGAAGAGTGACCAGCCACCTGCAAGCACCACCCCAGGGCAAAGGATTAAATTTATGGGGACCCACCTCAACCTGCCTCTCCCAGAAAATTGCCACAGGGAGGGCACCCCATCCCTTAGGGCTGCGTCACCAAACACTGATGGGGGAGGGGGATCAGAAGAACAGTGCAACACCACCGAGCCAGCCTGTCCTCCCGCCTCCAGCCACCCCAACTCTCCCAATGGAGACAAGTCAAGCAGAGCGGGCAGTTGGGAGAGCCGGAGTGGGAAGGCGAAGCCACGGGCTACAAGAACGTCACGTCGTCCTGAGACTGGAGCCAGCGCCAGTGGGCATCATACTCCAGGTGCAGTTTGCTGTTGAGTTTGCAGTTCTCCAAGTCAGCCTCGGCTTTCCGAGCCTTCCCACCTGGGTTCCCCTTCCCCAGCCTCTCCCCGGCCCCTGATGGCAATTTGGTGTCTCTGCCTGGTTCCAGAGGGGAGGGCTGCTGGCCCAAATACCCATTGGCCACCTGGGGCTCCTTAGCAAACCGGTGATCCTGGGGCAGCCCGGGTGGGGAGAGGTCCACGTGGGGCCACTCGTACTCCGTTTTGCCCTTCTCTTGCCTTGGAAGACCCCTCTCGGAGTCAATCCTGACCCAATCCTGCTCCGCCCTGACCAGGGCTCTGCCCGGTGCGGATACAGCAGCGGTTTCGGCAGCGTTTTGGGAATACTCATCCATGTCATCAGCCAACGTGTCCAGGTAGCTACCGACGGAGATGCTGTCCAGCCTGTCGTTGGGGTCCTGCAGGCTGTCCCAGCTGCCCCGCCGTGAGGCCGCTTGGCTCTCCACCAGGCTGTACTGGCTGCTGGCCAGGCTGCTGCAGCGGCTGGTCAGCGTGCTCCTCTCCTCTAGCAGCCACTTCACCGCCTCGATGCCCTCGTTCACCACCACCAGCTGCTGCAAGATCTTCACATCGACCGCTCGCAGGTAGGCCTGGCAGGGAGACAGAGAGGGCAGGCGTTTTGCGGGGGGACCAAGGTGACCCCGGTGGCCAAGAGACCTGAGTCCCAGAACATCCCAGCAGAGGTGTCACCGCGGTGGCCGCAGGTCTCCTGAGCTGCTTGATGAACAGAACAGCATGGGGGAACACCCTGCAAGGAACCACCCCAGGAGACCCTGTCCAAGACCTGGGGACACAACCAGCAGGGACCAACGACTTATGGCACACACCATTGACCAAACCCTCAGGGAAATAAATCCATGGCGTTTATGTCACTGTATTTATGGGGTAAGCAAGGAACTGGAGGTACTGGGGGTGCAGATTGGAGCCCAGAATATCCCCCAAGCCTTGGGAGGCAGCTGGCAGGGCAGGAGGGACCAGGCAGGGCCACTGCTCATGGCAAGGGTCTGGCTGGACCATCAGCACCTCCCCGGGCTGTTTTGGCCGGGACCCTTCCCGCATTTACTTTCCCCCATCTAAGGTCTGATCCACACCCGCTGACAACGTGACACAGCAGGATTTGGAGCCTGAGACCCAAATCACTCCCAAAACGGGGGAGGACGGTGGGGAGGAGACAGGCATTGCTGATCACACCGCTCGCCTCGCTGCCTCCTGCCCCTCCAAGCCGGGGGGAAGCTCTTTGCAATACTTCAGCTGCTGCAGAAACATCTGTTTTCCTAACGGAAAGCCCCGTGTGCCAAGACATTCCTGTCTGCGTGATACTGGCCGCCGAAAGCCACTGGATTTCCCCTACGCGGGACGCAAATATTTTGCCAGGAAAGGGAATAAGGCGGCGGCGGGGGGTGGGAAGAGGGAGAGAAAGCCATTGCGGGACAGGTACGGGCAGCATGGGAGCTGCGGATGCCCACAGCCTCCTTCACTAACACCCTGTCCCCAGCACCAGCAAGCTGTGACGGAAATCCAGGCGGTCAGCCGGGATCATTTCTAAGCCCAGCGCCCAGTTCCCAGCATCCGGTGCCCTCAGAGTCACCCACCCGCCTACGGGTGACCCGTCGGTCTCTCGAGACCCCCCCCATCTCCGGTCCCACAGTGAGCACAGCAACGAAAGCATCTGGGGAAGGAGCCTGGGAAAAAGGCTTTCGGCACGTGACGCCTCTCAGTCCAGAGGACACAAAAAAAAAGGGGCAAAGATTTGTAGAGACCCAACACCAACCCCCGTCCCCTCCCCACGCTCCTCCAGCTGCATTTAAATAAAAAATAGCAGGGATGTGCCCAGATTGGGGCAGGAGCCAGCTTCGAAGTGCAGAAACTTCCTTTCTAGGCAAGTTATTTCAAAAACTGCCTACAATGGCCTTTTCTGCACGCACTGCTAAAGCATCTGGCCTTGGCAGGGAGAAGACGCGGGAGGAGGAAGGCTGGGAACCCCTGATGGGGGAGGGTCCCCATTTTTCTCTGCCTCGTGCAACTGTGGCTGTCGGAGGTGCCAGGGGAGCCACCCCCAGAGCAAAGGGTGGGAAAACACTCCCCTCTTTCCGTATCATTTGCTGGAAAGAGTCGGCTGTTAATTTGCTGCTATTTCAGGCCAGCCTGACACCCCCACACACGTCATTGCGCCTCAAGAAACCCCCTCTCCAGCAAGGCAAGGTCAGCATGGGAGGAGTCCGAGGTCCAGATACAGTAATGGTTACACCACACCGACCCTGTATCCATCCCAAAACCTGCCCAGTGCTCCCCACACGGTGCCCACCGGCATCTGGACCCAGGCCAGCAGTATCCAGAGGGGAGGAAGGCAACTGCAGTCCTGAGTGCGTGGCAGGGGGTGGAGGAGACCCACCTGGATCCCTGCTCCAGGATGTGACACCCTGCACTGCTCCATGCCTCAGTTTCCCCACGTGCATCCCGCAATGCCATCCTCCCCCACAGCCATAAACTTCCCCCCCTCTTTCAAAGGGGACCCCGCGGGCCAGTGGAGCTGGGGGGACTGTCGTGCTCCTCCCCACACTCTCTAGGGGCAGGTAGAGGCAGGCAGAGCATCCCCTTGGGGGGATACGGTCCTGCTCCTCTCCCCAGCATGCAACAAACCTGCAGGCACCTTCTCCCTTCCAGACATCTAGCCCCAGGGATAAAACACTCTCCTCAGCCCAGGAGGCAATAGTGGGAATTTTCTCTCGTCTTCTCCCACTACCCACTCCCAGGCCAGCTGGGAGCACTGGGATTTTGCTTGTCTCTGCTGCTGGGAGGGGAATTTCGGTTCCTGCTCATGGGGATGGGGAGATGAGGGGAGCCTTGTGCTGGGTTTTGGGCACCCGGGTGCCATCCCCAAGCTGCTGACCTGGATGAAAGGTGTCCCTGCTTCTTCCCCAGCCGGCAAGAAGAGCCAGGGCAGAGAAAGGACAAAGCCTTTCGGAGCTGAGGTTAATAAGGCACGGCCACAGCCAGGCCTTCAGCCCGTGATCTGACCCTGCCTGCACCTGGGCAGGGGCAATTGCTGCCGCTGCTGCTTCCTCCTCCTCCTCCTCCTCCTCCTTCTCTGAGCAACCCAGGGCCCGCAGACCTTTCTCCTCCGGTCAGAGTGCAGCCTTGAAGCCGGCATGGAGGAAGGATGAAAGGTTTTACGCCGATGAGGGAATATTGAAGCAGGCGAAGCATGGGTGCAGACGGCTCAGGCTGGCCGGGTCCCCAGTCCTCCGGATGGCAGGCAGGGATGCGGGCATATTTAGCCTGTTTCCCTATGGAAACGATTCTCATTCCCTCCTGCTCGAGTGTGTGTGCGTGGGAGGGTCCCTTCCCCCAGCAGCACTTGAACCCATTGCCCAATCTCGCCACGTTTCCCGGAGGCGCAGGCATCGCCGGTATTTGCTCCCTCCACAAAAAGACAGAGGCGAGAAAGCTGCCACCGGCACTCCCACGGTCCCTGGGAAAGGCTGCCAAGGGAGCCCAACCCTTTACTAGCCACCAGAGAAGCCCCAGTAGGAAGCAAACCCCGGGAAAGCTCCCACCGATGCTTGTGCCTTGTCACCCAGGGACTGACACCCGTGGGGGACAGGGGACCGCCACCATGCCCTTGGTGAAGGTCCCTGCCCTAAACCCCGATTCCTGACACACCTCGGTCCCCACCAGAGCCACGGCCTGGGAGATGCGTGGGGTATGAGGTGTGGGATGGAGGTGGGTAAAGGGGTCCGTGGAACCCCCGGGGGGAGAATGCTGCGTGGGTCGGAGGGCAGAGAAAGGCCGGGGGAGGGCGGGGGCTGTTAACCCATACAGAAAAGAGCAAAAGAGGGGTGTTGTCCCCCAAAATGCAGGCAGAGCACGGAGCGCTAGTAGGGGACTGTCACCGGGGGGTGGCATGCAGTTACCCGGGAGGGATGCAGTTATCCCGGAGATGGGGGAGGGAGGCAGCTACCGGGGAGGCCATGCAGTTACCGGAGGGGTGGCAAGCAGTGCCCCCCGGTGCGGCGGGACTCACCAGCTCTAGGCGGAGCGCCCGGAGGCGGTCGGCGAGCGGCGGGCGGGTGCCGCGGGCC